TGTTCTGCTGGGCTTTGGTCTTGCTTTACTTCTTTTCTATTCCCCTGCTCCTCCTTTTTGTAATGGGAATGTTTACCCTGTAGTATTATATATTGAGAGTATGTAACTGTTTTTTTTTCAGGGACTTATAGCGAAGCATTTACCTTGAGTCTCAAAGGAAAGACTTCATCTTGGACTTTTGAGTAATGCTCGAACTGTTCAGATTTTGGAGGAACCATTAGAGAATTTTGATAATACATGGAATAGTTACATTGTGTTAGGTGGAATTACATCCTTATATCTATTTGAAGATTAAAATGTGTCTGGATATCAAGTTTACAAGGGGTAGAATGTGATGGTTAAGTTCATATGTTGACTAAATTGCTTTAGAATTCAAGCAGGGGACTAGTACAGCACACTTCTGGTCATGTGTATATGGGTGTAACCTTAGGGTCAATACCTGGTCCCTGGCCCTTCACTGTCAGCTGCACTCTGATTCCTGGTCACCATGAAGTGAGCAGCTGTCCTCCAACATACTTTTCTTCCATGATATTTCTGCTTTGAAGGCAGTCAACCAAGAATATAAACCTGTTAAGCCATGAGCCAATTAAATTTCTCCTCCGTTAAGTTTGGGCATTAGGTATCTTATCCAAGCAATCAGAAAGCTAACTACAGTTTATCTCAAAAGGTTTCCTGCTTGTATGCTATGTTATACTGCATCTTACCTCAAGTTCATCTTAAACAATTCAGTGGGCAGTTTTTATTACCTACACTCAAAGAGAGGGTCTTGGGGTGTAGCTTGGTGGTAGAGTTTTAATGAGGCTCATGTTTAATCCCCTATACCATGAATAGATAGATAGATAGATAGATAGATAGATAGATAGATAGACAGATAGATAGATAGATAGATAAAAATAAAACTTCAAATTGGGCATGGTGGTGTACACCTGTATTCTCAGCACTTGGAAGGCTGAGGCAGGAGAATTATCATGAGTTTGAGGCCAACCTGGGCTACATAGTGAGTTCAAAGTCAGCCAGTCTATACTATAAAATGAGACCCTGTCTCAAAAAAAATAAAAAAAATAAATAAAATCTTCAGGGAGTTTAGCACATTAGAAGCAGCAAAGGTAAGATTTAAACCCTAAGGCACACAAGTCTATGTCACCTTCAGCTCTTGCTATCTCCAGCACAGAGGACAAAGAAAACCGGTTCACACTAGGATTCGCCACCTCGGCAATTGGCTGCTATTGGCCAGTTACCAATTTAAGGCTCAGCAGATTGGAACATTTTATATTTTCCCTGTTTGCATACTATATTTCTATTGCTTTCTGATTTCTTTATCTTTCCACCAAATAAACAATTACTTTAGCCATCAGAAACTGGAAATAATTTTTCACAGTATCCTCATGTAAACAAAGTATTTAGTTTTAACCAGTATAAATGCATTTTTGTCTTGTTTTGTTTTGAGACAAAGTCTTGCTTTTTAGTCCAGACTGAACTTGAACTCTCTCAATCCTCCTGTCTCAGCCTCCCAAGTAAAGGATTACGAATGTGCACCACCATGCCCAGCATAAATTGTCTTTTATTTTGAAATAAATATTGGGGCTGGGGATTTAGCTCAGCGGCATAAGCACCTGCCTTGCAAGCAGGCAGTCGTGAGTTCGATCCCCGGTACCGATAAAAAGGAAAAAGACAATAAATAAATAAATATTGACTTGCATGTCATTAACTGATTTAAGTAAAAAGTTTGGAAATTCTCACATGTATTTATTTTAAATTTTATTTTATGGGAAATTTCTATACAAAAATAGAATGGTATAATAAGCACTCATGTACTCCTCACAAAGCTTCCACAATATCTCCTGTAGTGTCTAGGTTTGAAACTTAGTGGTTTAGTCATTACTGTATTTTCCTGTAGTATTTGTTAAATCATTTTCTAAAAAGCATGAAAAGTGCCAATGAGGCCTAATGTGGTGGCACATACTTGTAAATCCCTACTATTTGGGAGACCAAAGCAGAATTACTGCAAGTTTGAGTCCAGCCTGGGCAAATGAGCAAAATTTTGCCTGAAAATAAAAAGGTTTTAAATGGGTTAGGGATGTAGCTCAGTGCTAAGGCACTGCATAGCACGAATGAGGCTCTGGGTTCAATCTTCAAGCCTGTAACAAACAAACAAGAAAAGGTAATATTTCTTGCCTATAGATTTATACATAGTTTACACTGTCTTCATTTTAATTCTCAGTATCTTACAAAATTTTCACAGTGAATTCATAGTACTTGTTGCAATAGGAAAATATGACGTTTTTAAACAACTGAAAAATATATATCTTGAAGGAGTCTGTTTTCTAGTGCTTAATCTAGGAGCCATTCTTGAACTTGCTATAACTATCTGTTAGTCATCCTCTCTTGTATGGTTCACTAACAGTAAGCAGAATAAACTTTTGTTTTTTATGACATTCTCTTTGATAGTAATGTAGACTATTTGTAAATATAATGAACAAAACAAGGAAAAAACTGCTAGCACTCAGACAAGCAGACAAATTAAGCTACTGTGTTCTGTAGAAGAAACGTGAAGCATTCCCATGAGATTTTTTTTAAAGAAAATCATGTTTCTTAAGAAATGTCTCCCCCCCAACCCACCCCAAGAAAGGAAAGAAATGTCCTTATTTTTTTCTGATCTGACTACTAGACCCACAGCCTTGGGCTTGCCAGGCACATATTCCCTCTGAGTGACATACCCTCCATGGAAGTTCTTAATGTCGTAACAGTTCCTCAGCATCATGTGGCACTGGGGAAGGAGGATGGTGTAATTTCCACAGTGGTTTCTGAGGACAGAGTCAAAATCACTATGCATTAAGAAGAAACTGGAACACTAGTAGGAGCTCAGAATTGGATTATCTTTCAGAGAAACAAAACTTGGTTTAACGAGATGTGGTTTAGACATCATAAATCCACTTGTTTTAATTGTATAAATTAATGACTTTTAGTAAATTTAGTCACCCAACCATCATCACAACCTGTATTATTTTTTGCAATTCCTCAATAACTACCATTCTATCATAACTGCAAAAAGTTGAAAGTTCCAACTTTATTTCTTACTCATGTTACCAGCACCTCTTTTCTTTTCTTTCTTTATTTTCTACTTTTTTTTTTTTTTTTTTGGTACCAGGAATCAAACTCAGGACCTCACACTTGCCAGGCAGGCACTGTGCCACTGAGCTAAATCCCTGGCCCACCAGCACTTGTGTGCCTATGTTTTTTGGTTTTGCTTGAAGTGCTGAGGATTAAATCAGAGCCTTTGCATAGAACTGCATCCCTAATGTTTAAAAAATTTTTTTAAATTTTGAGACATGGTCTTGCCAAGTCACTAAATGGTCCAGGTCACACTAGAATCTGTGATCCTTCTGCCTCAGCCTCCCAGAATGCTGGGAGATTTTTAAGGCACATGCTACCATGCCCAACTTGTTATTGCCTTTATTTACAATACCAAAGTGATTCCTCATGCTGTAATTGGGAAAGATAACTTCTCAAGTACACTCAGTGCTTTATCCTTCACCTCTTAACTACAGCTATAGTTCAAGGGGCCTTTATTATGATTCAGGGATTTAAAGCAGCACGCCCAAAAATGGAAGTCTGGGGCCCTGCACTGTGACTGCACCCTGAACCAGAAATAAGAGAGAGGCCAAGGAGTTCTTGCAACCTCTCCAAACCATGCCTTGATACCTGTGCAAATGACTTCAACCCTCTTACAACACCTGAGCAGCTCTCTTCTTTGGGTCTGTTCTCCCTTTAAGCTATGCTAGGGGAACAGCTGCCAGGAAGCCTGGCTTTAAGGTCTGGGTATCATATACATGCACAAAGCTCTCATGGTGTGTGCTACAGCTTGGAATGAGAAGAGTTCAGCCGTGGTCTGGGGATGGACCTCTCAGTAACTGCCATATCCAGCACAGAATTGTGAGAAGTTTGAGAATTTGAAATTGGAATTTGTACTTCTTTATGGTGGTATATTTGTCAAGGTAGAAAGATAAGACATTTTCTTTAACAATTTGCTAGACTTATTTTTAAAATTTCAATATTTAGCAGGACATGATGTACACCTGTAATCCCAGTACTTAGGAGGCTGAAGCAGGAAGAGTTTAAGGCCATGAGTTTAAGGCCAGTCTGAGCTACATAGTAGGAAACTGTCTAAAAAGAAAAAAAAAAAAAAAAATCGCAGAAGCTGTAGCTCAGCAGCATTAAGCACCTGTCTGGTAAGGGCAAGGTCATGAGTTTGATTTCTGGTACAAAAACAGTTCAATATTTAGACATATAATATGTGGTTCTTCCTCATATGATTTCATTTCCATAAAATATGCCCCAAATAGGCAAATTTAGAGGTTGCCAGAGGTTAGGAGAGGGAAGAATTATAAGCAACTGAAGTTGGGTATTAAGTTCCTTCTTGGAGGTGATGAAAATGTTCTATAACATTTAATAGTGGTAATTAGTCATAGTTCCACTTCACAGCATGATGTTATAGCCAACGTTGTTTTAAATATCCCAAACTTAAAGATATTTCTGAAATTTGGAACCTAAAATACTATAACTACAGTACTGGTAAATTTGTGTATCTTTGAAGTCTGTCTGTGTCTCTGTGTGTGTCGCTGCACATCAACATTTGTGTAGATGAATCTGAGCAGGGGAGAAACAATTTTGCTACTACTTCCGCCTCCAAACGTTGACTCCCTCGGTTCAGCAAAAATTGTTTTCCACGCCTCCCAAACCAGCCAAAGACACCACGTTAACACACCCGGGGTTGCTATGGAGCCCCACGGAGGTCACAACGGAAGTGGTCCTTGGAAATCACTTTCCCAGCAAACTTGCTCTTCAAAAACAATGCCCTTCCAATTCATCGTTTCCTAAAGTAAACTCATAGACAAAAACACAACCAAACTATGCTCTCAGCACAATCCGAAAGAGGAACATCCAGTTCTCCCCGGGGCACAAGAGTTTTGGAACCAAGAAGCGCAGGGCACTGGTTCTCGAGCGAACTCTTTTCCTGGACGGACCAGCCTCCCAGCGGGGTTGCCGTGGAAACAGCGCGCTGTGACACTCAGCTACCCGCCCAGGCGCGGCCTTTGCTGTTTGCAGACCGGGCTCACAGGACCAACGCCAAGATGGTTAGTGGTTCTAGTAGTAAGGGATAACTTTGAGTAGGGACCGGAGGTTGGAGATTCCCAGCCTGTTTTGGGGGTAAAGTCTAGGTTTGTCAGCAGAAGGTCGTATGCCTCTCCTCCCAGTGTTCCCATGGGGGACAGGGAGAGATGTAGAGATAAATACCTTGATGCTTTCGTCCCTTCTGCTTCTCATTTCCCCACACCTCAGCTGGCCGTGGGGTAGAGAGCAGAGCAAGAGGCGACAGAAGCTACAGGAAAGCATCTCCTATGGATAAAGAAATAGGAAGTCGCTATTTTGGTTCAGCTCAAGTACAGATTCCCTTTTAATAAAATATGTTACAAAAGAGAGTTTAAATAGACTTCCCTGGGGTCCTTAAGGATTTGGCTTGTACTTCATGGGACTGTCGCTCTCATTTTAAAGCTGACCAGAAGAACTGGACCATACAATTGTCTTTGTAATTTCTTTTACAGATGCTTTCAAGGGCCAAACCTGCTGTAGGTGGGGAACCACCACAGACTAACAAAAGGAAGAAGAAAGGCAGGAAGATTCCAAAACTAGAGGAGCTACTTTCACAGAGAGATTTCACTGGAGCTATTACTCTATTGGAGGTAACTTCCAAAGAAAGTTGCTTCTTAATCTGGGGAATACCAGAGCACAGATGAATGCTTGGGTGAATGCCGGTTGGTATATTGTTGGAACGGTTGTGTGCATTTTGGGGTATCTTCAAAAAGCCCCTAGTAAGTCTAGTTAATTTCAGATTCTATATCCAACATAACTGTAAACTTGATTATAGCTGAGTTTAAAACAAAACAATGTGTACCAACAACAACAACATAAGGACAAGTAATGTATCTTTTTGAGGTGAGGGCCACTTTTTTGGTGCAAGGGAGTGCCACATTTGATTATGTCTAGCTAGTTTGATGGGTCCAAACTAAATAGGTGAAGTGATATTTAATATGATCATACACTGCTTGTCCTACCTCCTGGTCAATTTATGATATATTTTTTTTTATACCAGGGATCAAACTCATGACCTCATGCTCACCAGACAGGTGCTTATTTAGTAAGCTAATTCCCTGGCCCTGTGATGTATTCTTATGTTATGAATTTTGGACAAATGAAGTAATTTTAGACAAATTTAAGTAATTCTGTCATGCTTATTTTTAAAATATTATATCACCAAAAAATATTTCAAGCCTCTCTGGCATTATTTCTCTGTCCTCCTCCACTCCAGTAGATCTCACCTTTTGAGAAGCATTGGAAGTATTGAAGGTAGTTACTCAATGTGTATATTCATGGGCTTCTACTTTAGCAATTATGATTCTTTTGGTCTGTAACGATGCTCCGGAATCTGCATTCTTGGTAGTCTTAAGTCAGTGATGGAGAGCCTTTTAGAACTTTCAATGATAACTTACAGCCTGTTGCAGCACATGGGTCTGTCATAGGTTCACCACCACTGGTCTAAGTGTTTCTGATGTAACTGGTCCGAGGAGACTGTACTTCCTCTGTGGGAAGCTCATGTTTGGGGTGTCTTCAAGGATGCCCCAAAAGTGAAAGAGTTTGGATAGCATGGTGTGGATGTGTTGTGCTATTAGCGATAATAGTTTAGTTAGCTTTATGTAAATTTCTTGCCCCATCTTCTTACACGTGCACTCATATTGGGTACATTGTCTAGCTTCTGTTGGTGGTTTTTCATCTTTACATCAGGGGTGTTGACTTGGAAGGACTGAGTGCTGTGTGTATTTCTTTTGTCAATCTACTTTTTCTCTCTTTTCTTTGAAGCAATGACCACAATTTTCTTATTGTGTAATTGCAGATAGCCTTTAAGTTGGCAGGGAGGCTTGGCTCTATGTCTATAATCTCAGGCAGCTCGTTGGAATTCTGCACTACATAGGAAGGGAAACTGCTCTGGTTTGGGGTGAAAGTAAACTCCCCTGTGGCTCCAGAAATTCATGGGGTATATTCAAGGAGTCATCAAGAATTTCCTCAGTCTCTGGGCGTTATCCTCAAAATCACAGTAAATTTGGCAAGAAGAGTAAATTCTGGTCCTAGACAGAAAACAAAACAAAACAAAACATATCAAAGGGGCTTTATCACCTTGAAGAGTGGAAAAAAAGTCACCTTATCATGGTAACTCAGAATTCCCCTTCAAAATTTCAGTCTTTTTCCCTAAAACAAGGCTTTTCTTTTATTAGCTGAGGAATTCACAAATAGTTCTTCATAATGGACATAAGTGAGGCCAGTCTTCTATATATCTTTAGCTCTTGCAAGCCTGGTAAGCCACCTGCTCAAGGGTGAGAGGATAATTTCATGGTTTGTCCTTAGTGAAGGTTTGTAGCCTATTAATAATACATGAGTGTGCTCATGGGACAGGATGGAAATGTGTGGAGTTGAATCAGAGAGCACATAACATGGATGTTGGAAGAAGACTTAATACTTTAAGTCCCTGTCACATGCATACTGGCTGGGTAGCCTTCCATTCATTGCTCAGTCTCTCTAACTTTCAGCTGTTTGGCTTTAAAATTTCACATAATTCTTGTGTTAGAAGTATTGTTAGATAATGCAGGTACTTCCTGGAGTAAAGTATCAGTAAATGAAAAAACAAATGTGAAATATTTGAACATACAAATTTCTCTGACAGAAGAGATTTCTGAGATAGTTGGAAGATATGTATCTCTCAAGATAGGCTTAATTATAAAATGGTGTGCAGGGAGGCTTGGCTGTATGTTTGGTGATCATTCATTAGTAACTTAACATAGCATTTTTTTTTTAAAGGGAAGGTTTAGAATTCAGTTTTTCATGATTTTTTTTCCATGAATTTTTAACCTGAAGTTCAAACGTCATGTTGGGGAACAAGAAGAGGATACAAATTTGTGGATTGGATACTGTGCTTTTCATCTGGGTGACTACAAGAGAGCTCTGGAGGTTGGTTTTTTGTTCGTTTTGTTTTTTTTAATCTAACAGGAGTGTGTTTAAAATGTTATTAGACTTTATATTATAATGATACTCATGGTAAAATTCAAATAATGCAGGAGCAATCACCCTATCTGTATTCCCCAGTCCTATTTCTCTAAGAAATAACAGGCACCCACATCTCTTTTTTAATGTATTACTTCAGAAACTTTCCATATATACCTTTATATCTATATCTATTTTTCACTGAATGGAATATAAGCATCTTGTTTGCTTTTTACTTTTACATGAGCACTGAATTGTGCAGAACAGCAGCATGGGGTAAGTATGGGACTGAACCCGGCTCTCTGCACACTAGCGCCCACTTAGCTCTACCCCAACCTGCATTAATGTTGCTTAAGAAATCTTCAGCAGAGGAAAAGATAAGCTATTTTGATTTTTTACTTTCATGAGTTTCCTCAAAAGAATTTTACTTGATTATTTTCAGATATTATCTCTATATAATCCTTATTTTTGTAAATGTAGGTGCTTTGGGAATTATTTTTCTTGGTCATTGTAAACACTACCCATCTGCAGTGATTAATTTGTAGGATTATGGATCTAAATAAAATGATAATGGCTTACATTAAACAATTTTTAATTTAAAAATTCTTGCATACTTCCCACATATTTTTACTCTCAAGATATGTATAATCTAAGAAGATTGAAGACCACATATAATAAAAACATTGTTTAAGGCCACATAGTGAAAAGGTGAAATGAAGAACAAAAAGAACAAAAGGTGTTAAAGAAAAGAGGAATATATGAAAAACAAAGTGAGATAAAGACTGGGAGTATTCGTCAAAGGTATATGAGGAAACAAAAAGTAACCCAAATGTGTAAGAAAAAGAAATGGGATTCTGAGAAATACTGATAAAAACCATGTCTTTGGAAAAAAGGGAAAAAATACCTTTTTAAATGTAAACCAAAGCCAAGAAATAATTAGATGAAATTTTTAGTGTATTAAAGTTATCAGATTTTAAGTAACTAATGTATTTCTTATCTTGCATATGTCTTTTTAAGTTAGCAAAAATAAAATATTATTGTTTTTCATTTCTGCAGTTCATTCATCCATGTCAGTGGTTAATGTAGGGGAAAGTTGTGTGAGGTTTTATGGACAACACCCTCTCGTGGTTAAGAGTGATCTTTAGCTTCCGTATTTCACCTTTTCAAGTATAAAATGATTGAGGAACATGTAGGATTTCCTAAACCTGAAGTTCCGCTCTCCCAGTAAGAAATCCTCTTGCGTTACAGAAGAATTAGTACTTGTTTCAACAGCACATGTACTAAAATTACAGAACTACCTTACTGGTAAAATGAGATCAGGGTTGAATATCTATTTCAGGAGTATGAAAATGCAACAAAAGAGGAAAGCTGCAATCCTGAAGTCTGGGTGAACCTCGCCTGTACCTACTTCTTTCTTGGGATGTACAAACAAGCGGAAGCAGCAGGATTTAAAGGTAAGATGGGCCCTTTGTTTTTACTGTTGTTGTGGTTGCTGTCCTCGTACTTTTCTTGTCAGTACTGGGGACTGAACCCAGCACCTTCACACTAAGTTACATCCATAGCCCTTTTGATTTTTCTTTTTTTAAATTTTATTTAAGGAGAAAAAGAAAAAAAGCAGAAAAAGGGTACAAGTTATACAGAATTTCAGAAAAAAAATAAACAGTAGGAAATCACGAGTTAATGGATTATATATTGTCATCTTAGAAATATTTGTTCCAGTTACAAAATTAAAGCTTATATAGTGGACATTCAAACAGTGAGACCAAACAGTTCTGTTCAATGATCCAACAAAACTCAGTAATATCATTGTCTATCTTAAATATACATGCAGTTATATCGTTTAGAGCACTTTCTTTTCTTCTCTTTTGTACAATGACTATTACACATTTGGGGTTTTATTGCTCCCATAGTTCTTATTACTTTTTTTGGAAGAGAGTAAAACCAAATGTGACATAACAGAACAGAGTCGGTCAAATCAAAAGGGTGTACATAATACATAATGTAAAAACATAATACAAGGTGATCAACAATGGTTACCATAATGCCTCCTGCTATCTCTAATAGAGTTGCCTACATCATCAGTTATAATAAAATTGAACAAAACAGTATAGAACGAAACCAACAAAACCAAAACATTGGAGACATTATAGGTCTTCAAAAGTAGATAATAGTCAACCAGAATGGGCGTCATAATGAATCCCACTATCTTCACAGCTGTTGCCTAAACTTTCGAACCTGATACTATCAAGCAAAACAGAATAGAGGAACATCAGTCAAAACAAGATGGTGAGAACAATTCAGGGCTTCAAATCAAAGTCATAGCCCTTTTAAAGAATGTATTGTAAAGTTTTATAATAGGGTCTTGCTAAGTCACAAAGTTGCCCATGGTGGACTTGAAGTTGGGATTCAACTTTAAAGAGTGTTAATCACCTGTCATCCTTTCAGGGTCCACCTGCTCCAAAAGGAACAGCATAAATGTAGAAGGATGGGAACAGAAAAGGGCGGCGCCCTTCTTACTCCATCACAGTAGGCCGCACCTGCTGTTGGGAGTTAGGTGAAGCTGTTCGAGCCCTGAGGGCTGTGGATATACAGCTGCTTGTTCAGTTTCTGGGTGAAAAACCCAGTAAGTTCAGTGATGGGGAAGAATCCAGATGCTTTCCCTTCTGCTTTCTTACTTGTCATGACAGTCATTTTAGGAGAATTATGCTCAAATCTACAAATAACAGTAAAGTAAAAGAGAAACATGAGAGAAAAGATGGAGGATAATTAGAATATAAATCAATTTAAATTCAAGAAACTACAGAGAAAATGGGCAAGGGAAAGTACATTTGTAAGGAAATTTATTAGGGAAGAATGCATTCCCTAATAACATAATATATGCCCTCTATCTCTTCCTGGAAAAGGCAGAACTTGAAGCCTCTCTTGATTTGTGCCTAAATTGTTTCATATGTACTAATACAACTTTTCCTAATTTAATCACAAGCTCTTTAAGGTTTTTAGTTGGTCTCATGTTTCTAGACTTCATCTGTGTCTAGAAAAGTGTTGGATACCCAAATGATCAGGTACTATCTCCATTTCTGTATGTATACATTTTCTTTTTTTCTACATTGAAGTAGGAATTTCTTTTCTGTAAAACATACACAGAAATTTTTTTCTAGGGGCCAGGGATCTAGCTCTGCGGTATAAGTACCTGCCCTGCAAGTGGTCCTGAGTTTGATCCCTGGCACCCTCCCCCCACAAAAAAAAAAAAAAAAAAACTGAAGAAAGAAATCTTTTTTGTAAATCATAGAATTGGGTGTTTAGGGGCTGGGGATTTAGCTCAGCGGCATAAGAGCCTGCCTTGCAAGCAGGTAGTCGTGAGTTTGATCCCCGGTACCGATAAAAAGGAAAAAGACTTAAAAAAAAAAATTGGGTGCTCAATATCAGAAAAATTTCCAAGAGTGTAAAGGAAATTTAGGACTTGAAAGATGTTAGTTAACCTTTTAGCTTGACTACCTGTTAAGCGCAGTACATTGTTATGCTGGAAGATCTATGAAATAAAGCCTGGGCTAGCATTTAGGAAAATACGGCAGCTTAATTCTGAGATTTTAGAGAACTTGAGAGTGCTGCGGTGAGCAGCTGAAGGAGAGTAGATTCATGTGCGCACTGGGGTGACCGTCCCTGTCTGCTGCAGTGTACAGCTCCGAGGCCAGCTATGATACAGGACATTATGGAGTTGGGCGGAACAAATGGAGGGGAGGACCAGGACCTTTTCCTTCTGGTTCCTGATGTTACTACAGGTGGAGGCCAGACTCAGCAGTATTTATGATTACAACAGATACGAATCAGGATCAGGTAGGTAAGGATTTGGGGAGACTCATGAGCTCCATTTGTGCTCGTTTCAGCAGCACATATATATATGTTTCATTTTATTTTTTCAAGGGACCAAATGCTATGGACTATTAAGTTCTTTAATAGGCTTGGATCTTTTTTTCAGCTCCAAAAAGCCGACTCCAGAATCGCCTGCTCTTCCATTTGGCCCATAAGGTATTTATGCTTTCATTTCATATCTTTTGTTTTAAAAATATTTTCCTCATCTTGTTAACAACAATAGTAAAAGGTAATTAATTAGCAATTCCTGTTAATGATACTTCTAGAACAAGTGAAATATGGGCATTAATTTTGTAATATAGAATGTTCTCACCATCGGTGTTTTTTACCCTCTTCATTTATTCAGAGATGTTGGGTTTAGTTCTTAGTTAAGTAGCAGTCATTTAAGATTAGTGTGTGTCAACTGTCCTGTTGTCTGTTGGGAAACAGACTCAAAAACTTCTTGTTCTGCATCATGGAAGTAAATACAAAGTTTCCAGGTAATTGTGGTTATCATAAAATGATTTTTAAATATTTTTTCAAATTATAAGAGTAATACACGTTTATTCTGTCAAACAAAGAAAGTATAAGTAAGCAAAAGAAGGAAAAATAGACAAAGTCGTATGTACCATATTGGAAAAATAACTCCCTTTTGTCTTTTGGTGTATCACCTCGGGGTACTCTACTTTTATATGCATATTTGTCTATTTGTTTTTATGTTGTGCAGAATGAGACTTATGCTGAATGTGTTTTTTGTACTCTGTTTTTTCAAAATGTGCCTTTATACGACATGTGCATTCCCCAGTCATTAAATAAGTTTAACATCATGATTTTTAAATGGCTTAAAAGTGTTCTCTAAAAAATCATTTGTGCCATAATTTGCTTAAATATGTACTAGTTAGATTGTTTCTAATTTTTAATCATAAAATTGTCATTCTGAACACCTAAAAATGGATTTACTGAATAATTGAGTATGAAAACTTTAAACCTTTTAATTAATAAGCCTAGTTTGTTTCACAGAAAGTTTATCTACTCACCTGCAAGCAGTATTTGAAAATAATTATTTTTAGTACATTTAAATTTTTCACACCATTGTTATATTTTTGTCTTTATCATTCTTTCAGTTTTTACTTTACATATTTTTCAGGCTCTGTCATGAAATATACACTAATTTAGAATTTTTAAGTCTTCCTACTAGATAAAAACATATATTATCATTAAATGTCTTCCTTTAGTTCCAAAAAAAATTCGTCTTCTCTCTGTTATATCTTTATCTGTACTATTGTCAGTACTAAACCAGGTTTTGTTTGATTAGGGTTCATGTTCTTTCTATACTTTTTTTTTTTTTTTTGCGGCACCAGGGATTGAACTCATGACCTTGCACTTGCCTGGCAGGTGCTTATGCCGCTGAGCTAAATCCCCAACTCTCTTTATATACTTTCATTTCTCCTTTTCTATACTTTCATTTCTCCTTTTCTATGTCCTTGCATTTAAAATGCATTCCATAACAACCAAATAGACATGAATTTTGTGGGTTTTTAGTCCTGTAGAATTCTTTATTTTTAAAAACTCTTATATTTAATTCACTTACTTAACGTATGTACTGTGCATGGTCAGCTCGGTAACTGCCAGTTTACTATTTATTTTCTACTTGCCCCAGCTGATTCACATTCTCTTTTCTCTCCTTTCTTGTTTTTGTTTTGGATTGATTTTTCTAGAATCCCCTACTTTTCTCTCCTGTTTTGCTAGTTTTGCAACTATTAATAATATTTTGCTAGTTTTACAAACTATTAATGTTAATTGCTGTAGTTTTTATCTTTGACACATATTTGTACTTTTGCCCTTTTCCTGACAATAAGGCCATAGATAATTTTAACTCATTTGTTCCCTCTCATATTTTGTATAAACCTGAAATACCCTTTGTCTCTATGCATTTCTAACCTCACAAGATGCTGTTAATGTTGTTTGCTTGCAGTCGGATTTAATTTATATTTAATCACATTTATCCTCTCCACTGCTTTGCATTTCTTTCCGCGTGTTTTTGGACCCATCTAGGGTCATTTGCATTCTTTCTCTCGCTCCCCATCCTTCTTCTCCCTACTTTTCTTTCTCCCTTCCTCCTTCATGGGCCTCATGCATGTTAGACAACTGCTGTCCTACAGAGCTAGATCTCCAACCTTTTCTAACTTTTGTTTTGAGACAAGATCTTGCCACGTTGCCTGAGCTGCCTCAGACTTGTGGTCCTCCTACCTCGTTCTCTGGAATAGCAGAGGTTGCAGGTGTGTGCCACTACATCTGGTTGGGAATCCTTCTTCTATTTGAAGAACTTTTTTGCATTATTTCCCTTAATGGAGATGAATTCTCTCAGTTTTTGTGTAAATATGTTTTAATTTCATCATCTTTTTAAAGTGAATTTTTGTGTGCATAGCATTCTAGGTAGCTGGTCATTTTCCTTTAGCGTTTGGAAGATGATACTGTATTGCTTCCTAGGTCCCATTCTCTACTGAGTAGTCAGCTGTCAGTCTGATTGTCGCTCCATTTTCTTACTGTGTTGAAGCTTTTTGTATTGTTTGGGGATTTTAGCACTTTTACTCTAATGTTTCTAGATATTCTTTTTATTTATACAACATCAGTTTCACAGTGTTTGCTTGAGGTCTTTCTTTTCTTTCTCCCCTCCCCCTCTTCTTCTTCCTTCTCTTCTTCCTTCTCCTTTTCTGATCTGGAAAAATTCTTGGTAATTATCTCTCCAAATTTTTCTTCTCCATCATACCCTGTCTTCTTTCCTTCTAGAGCCACCATAATATATATATTTGTAGACTTTTTCATTGTGTGCATATGAATACTTTTTCACATTTTCTGTATATTTCCTGCAAAAAATTCTTTGATTTTTACTAATCCTTCTTCAGCCATGTTTAATTATCTATTATATTCATTTACTTGGCTCTCAATTCCAGTTATTCATTTCTAGGCTTTTTTCCTTTTCTTTCACCCCCGCTCCCTTTTAGTCTTTTTGAGACAGGGTTTCACTGTGCAGTTCAGGCTGAATTTGAACTCACTTTGTAGCCCAGACTGGCCTGGAACTCACAGTGACCCTCCTGCCTCAGCCTCCCAAGTACTGGGATAACACACGTGTGCCACCACATCTTGCTAGAATTTACATTTTATATTTAACATTTATAATTCTTTAAGTTCCTTGATTTCTAATTTAATTGTTTAAACAGCATTGTTATTTTAAAATTCATATTTAATAATTCTAATGACTCTTGATGGCTGATTTTTGGTTTTTTGGTCAAATAGTTTTTACTTCTGGTATGCTTGGTAATATTGCAATGAAAGATAGCTATTGCACATGAAAACATATAGAGATAATTTGAGGCTCTGGGTAATTTTATCCTGTTTCAGAGGAGACTTACTTTTGCTTATCACTGGAACAAGGGATGGGCAATTCAGTGTATTTTTTTCAAGGATTTAACTTATTTGAAGTTGGTTTGAGGGGCCAGGGATTTAGTTCAATGACACAGCACTGATATGGCGAACATGAGATCCTGAGTTTGATTGCTAATACTAAAAAAAAAAAAAAAAAAAAAAAATAGTTTTCAGTTATCCTGAAGGCTGCTGTATTTCTGCCTTTACTCCTGTTGCCAAGGGAGCTTCCCGGGCCTAACTGATAACCTTGGTAGGCCCTATCCTCTAATTTTTGCCATTCAGCTCTTAAAACATCTTGAAACTCTATTTAGTTTCCACCATCTCAGTCACCAGTTTAAAATTAATAGATGCACTGAGAAGAAAATGATGCTGAACATCAGCCTGATCAATCTTCCTTTTAGTTCTCTTTGGAATATTGCTGCTTCAAGTTTTCACTACCTCAGTAGCTCTCTGATGCCTTCGCACTAATTCTTAGGGGAGGCTAAAATCTCTGTGCCATTTATATTCATTTTCCTAACTCTATGCCAACATGAATCTTTACATTTCTTTTCTTATCTCACAACTTTAGTTTAATGATGAGAAAAAACTGATGAACTTTCATCAAAATCTTCAGGACATCACAGAAGACCAGCTCAGTTTGGCCTCAATCCACTATATGCGGTCTCATTACCAAGAGGCAATTGATATATATAAGAGAATACTGCTGGATAACAGGTCTGTGGCTTTTTATGACTACTCGAAATCTCTTTCACATTTAGTTTCTTTTATAACCAGTTTGACTGAAAACCTAATTTCCTTGCATTCAAATCTACTTGGTCGAATTAAGAAAGTCGTAGATATTCTTCTCTACCTTTTTTTTTTTTTTTTTTTTTTTTTTTTTTGGTCTTTTTTCCTTTTTATCGGTACCGGGGATCGAACTCACGACTGCCAAGGCAGGTGCTTACGCCGCTGAGCTAAACCCCCAGCCCCTCTCTACCTTCTTGATTATCACCCTTCTATAGGGCCTTTTTAGTGTTTTTAGTCTCTCAGTTGCCTACTTATATATCTGTAAATATTTAACAACATATTATGTATGTTTTTTCAGTAAGTGTTTATCTCTATTTACACACAAAATCAGTATGATTTTCTCACCACTCCACGGGAATCAGTTTTTGTCCCTGTGAGGGTAATATTGCTTCTGTAGAAAATGTGTGCTCTAAGCCGGGCGTGGTGGCTCACCACTGTAATCTCAGCACTTGGGAGGCTGAGGCAGGAGGATCCTTGGGAGTTCGAGACCAGCCTGGGCTACAAAGTGAGCTCAAGGCCTGCCCAAACTGCATAGAGACCCTGTCTCAAAAAAAGACAAAAAAAAGAAAGAAAATGTGTGCTCTAGAGAGATCTACCTCAGTGATCTAGTTACACTGTAGGTAACTTTCTGGCACACTTGGAATCAAAGCATTTTTGAACAATTGATATTCTAACTTTATCACTCAATACTTGGCCTCTTTCTCCCAGCACAAAACACCTCGCCCATTTTCTTCCTGCACTGCCGTGCATTACTAGACTGCCATCACCCCTACTTCTGGTCACCATGCCTTCTTCCCACGTCTCTGCCCTGTGTAAAGATTTAACAACCCATTTTTTTCAGTATGAAGTTTCCTCTTGCTTCTGTAAGTGTTATCTTTTACTGTACTTAATTTATATCGAAACAGTTGAATATTACAATATGAAAAGATTAATTTGCATTGATTGTATTTTCTTTTTTCGCAAGAAACATTCTTTTGTTGTTGTTGTTTTGTTTGCTTATTTGCTTTTTAACACAAGGTCTTGCTACATAGTTCAGGGTGGCCTTGAAATTACTGTGCAGCCCACATTGCCCTAAAACTGCAGTGATTTGCCTGCTTCAGCTTCACAAATGCTGGGATTACAGGTGTGCGCCATCATGCGTGGCTCACAAGATAAATTCTTGACCTTTCTGCTCTGTCTTGTCTATTTGAGCTTTGTAGCTTGACATTTCTGTGAGTCTGTCTTAAACTTTTAACCCTTAATTCTTTCCTCTAATAGGGAGTACCTTGCCCTCAATGTCTATGTGGCCCTCTGTTACTACAAGCTGGATTACTATGACGTGTCTCAAGAAGTTCTGGCTGTTTATCTCCAGCAAATTCCTGACAGTACCATTGCACTCAATCTGAAGGCTTGTAATCATTTTCGTCTTTATAATGGCAAAGCAGCTGAGGTAATGATGGAAACATGTTTCTAATTGACTTAATGCAATATGAATTCCTTTGTACTTTTCAAGTCATTTATTAAGTTCCATTACCTGTAGCTCTCTTTTTTTAATCTTAAAGGAAATAAAACAAAAGAGTGATAAGACAGTAGGAAATCCGTAATAGTTACTATACTGCATATTGTTAACCACTAACTCAGTTGCTCAGACTACTGGCTTTGTGCTTGCAAAGTAAACTAGATAATACAAGGATCAGGTTATTATACTCTCTTTTTTTCTTTTTTATCCGCACTGGGGATCGAACTCACGACCACACACTTGCAAGGCAGGCACTTATGCTGCTGAGCTAAATCCCCAGCCCAACATCAGGTTATTTCTTTACTTCAGTTACTGGCATCTCAGCCTGTGTTCTTCCAAATCAGCCCATTGCTTATGGAGCGGGAAGCTCCTTCCTGGTTTTCCCTGGCCAACAGGGCCACCGTGGTATATCGGGTGGAGGAACTGTGTAACTTCCTTCCTGGTTCTCTCCAGCTGGCATGGCTGCCACGAGTGCATGGAGAGCTGTATATCTTCTTTCCTAGTTCTCCTCAGCCACAGCTTACACACAAAGGGCTGCATAACTCTCTCATAGCTCTCAAGTAATATCCCTGGGTCATTGCCTCTGTGATTCTATAAGAACCTAACTGCATTAATATTTTTGTTTATCAGATATTCTAAAAGTAATTTGACTTTTTAATTTTCTGTTTTGTATCTTATACAATGTAGATGATTTTTAACCCACTTACGCAAAAGGTTGCAATTTTTTAGAATTTTTGCATGAAATTAATATGTTACCTAGAAAAATTCAAGGAACAAGAATTCAAAGGGAAAATTTCATGAATGTTATTATGTGCCCTTCCAAAAATGGAACACTAGGCATAAAACAATTAACCAGATCCTTCTGTTAACTTAAATATGTTTTAATCCAAGTGCTTCAGGTCCTTTCTCTAAAATATGCTGGTGGCTCTGTGGCTGAATGCCGATATATATACCCAGTAAACACATCACTCATCCAGAATCTCTTGTCACTGTCTCCTTCCTCTCCGTGTAATCATCCCCTAGTTCCTATTATTTATACATCCCAGAAACTTCTCTTAACAATCTCTCCTCTCCTTTATTACTGTGCAGTCCAGGAGTTCCTCACCTCTTATTTTGGCTCTTTCAGGAGTGCCATGCCCTCTCCAGTCCAGGCACTGAATTTGATGTGTAGGCCAGATTCTCTTGGTGCCATAGCCACACACTTGTCACTCTGTAATGTCCTTTCTCTCTGCTTGGAATGCTCTAGCTTCTCCGTTAAGTTTACGCTAAGAGGTAAACATGAAAGACATCTTATAAATACTTAGCTAACTAATAGGCACCATGGAGAACACATATATCGATTATTTAATTTTGCTGAAAATCGTTTTTTTAAAAGATGTTTAATATGTCTTGGATAAAATACAATGTTAACACGTATACACTCTACATGCATACACACTATACATAGATAGCATGTAAATTATAGAGAACATGTTCTATGTCTGTAAATGTATAGGTATAAATAGATATTTTATTTTATTTTTGGTACTGAGAATTGAACTCAGGACCTCGCACTTGCCAAGCAGGTACTGTGTCTCTGAACTATATCCTTGCCCCTAAATAGATATTTTAACATTATCCCTATGAGGGGGGCAATGTTTCAAAAGTATATTTATGGCTGTTACTTTAGTTGATGTCAAAACCCACCAAATTTAAATGTAAATTTTTACATACAGCAAAATTAAAAAATCTTACCCATACCCAAAAAATAGTTCCAGTTAGTATCATGCTACCATTGTGTAAGGGCAGGAGAGAAGGAAACTTTTAAGCTAGGAAATTAACTCTGTCAAAGCAAAATTTATTGAGAAAATATAATGGCAAGGAGCACTGTAAACAAATGTTAGTCTGACTAGAGATTCAAAGTGCTGAGGACAGTCCTGTTCAGTAGCAGCAGAGGCAGAGTATGGGGTAGAAAACACATGTGCCTTGCCCTCTGCTCAGACTCACATTTCACATTTCAGACTCACAGAGATAATGGTGTCAGATATGGCAAAAAAGTGCTATCAGTTCAATTAGTTGACTGTAATTCAGTACTTATAGGTTATATAAATACACTCAAGATAATAGTCATTTCAGTAAGTCTGCCTAACAAGATAGTATTTTCAGCACCAGAAGTTAATAGTGGACTGGATGTGCCATTGGATCCCTTTAGTATTCCACATTTTGAGTAAGGACAAATAAAATAAGTCTATTCCCACCTTTCTGTCTTAATGTGACCATGAGGACTACTAATTTTGAGGAAGGCCCAGGCTGCTGAATGTTTACATTGTACTTGCTCACTTCTGGCTGTCCATAGTCTGGTCTGGGCAGTACACCTGGTTAATATTCTGTGGATCTATGTCCATCTGAGTCAGCACACCAGACTGCTCTTCCCAGCTCCTGAAGGGGATTGTTTTATTCCTTGAAATTGTTTCAGGGCAGTTTGCACATTAATTTGATTGTGTACTCCATGTATAGATGAGTACTTCAAAGTTACTAGAAACTTTGTTTCTCTTTTGGTTGTAGTAGGATATAGTTTGTATTTAAGTATGATAATCTTATTAAAGCATTTAAAAACAAGCATTCTTTTAGGAACCTGTAAAATAGAATCTGTATTATATTACTCAGTCTCCAATAAACACTAGTAAGGTTCTGTTTAGTAAGCATGAAATAATGTACAGTGATCAACTCTTTTTTTTTTTTTTTTGTCTTTTTGAGACAGGGTCTCTCTATGCAATTCAGGCTGGTCTTGAGCTCACTTTGTAGCCCAGTTTGGTCTCGAATATGCAACAATCCTATCTCAGTCTTCCAAGTGCTGGGATTACAGGAGTGAGCCACCATGCCTGGCTAAATCTTTTTTTTTTTTTGTTAATCTGTGGGGCTGCATTACTAATTTTTGGAGGGGGTTGGTTTTGTGAGACAGGAGGGTCTCACTATGTATTCTACGCTGGCTTTGAATCCACCATATAGTTCAGGGGGCCTCGAATTCACAGTGATCCTCCTGCCTCAGCCTTCCAGTGCTGAGATTACAGGTATGTGTCACCATGCTGGGCAAGGATCTCTAAAAGAAATTTCAATAACTTGCCCAAGACTATACAACTAACATAACGAATGGCAAATTCAAGTCTCAAACTGACATCTAACTGAGTTGTAGACTTAAGCTCTAAAATGTAGTGCAAATTTGACCTTAGTACACATATACATGCATGCATGTGTATGTATTCAGTGCATGTCCCCATCATCATGCCTATTATTTAGCAGTTTCTAATAGTCTTCAATGTAGAGAAGTTCATCATGCATAGGGATTGGGTCTTTTGATATCTGTACCTCTGTCTCCCCTCATTCCTTCCTTTTTTCTTGGTCCTCCTCCCTTTTGCAAAAGTCCTATCTCTCTATTTCCTATTATCTATCTTTTGTTTATTAATTTATATGCACTTCCAGACAAATTGTCACTACCTGAAAGGACTCCCTGTAGTAATAATTCTTTGCTTTGAACAATGGTGGATTTCAGTCAGTGCACAAAAATGCCATCGAATAGGGGAATAATACACAGAAAGAAGAAACCCTGTTTGTAGGCATTGTGGAAAGTATTTGCTGCAATGTTTCTCTTTTACAAACAAAATTACCCTCACATTGGGGTGTAACTGCATGTGAGAAATGTTTGGTAAATGTTCAACAGACAGAGCTGCTAAACTGAGTGATGTCATATTGGTCCTCGAGCCTATGTTTGCATTGTGGGAAAGCATTCAGTATTCACATTTATTGTCGAATGTGCAAAAATAATGATAGTTCAGTGAAATCATATATAAGTGACTTGAAAATTACTCATGTAGAGGAGACATGGAAAAATAATATAAAATTATTGTTTTCAATATATGTTCATAGATTTTTTAAAAAACACTCAAACACAAAGGTGTCCTAAAACGTTTTCATTTCTTTTTTATAAATCATATATAAGTGATCTATTTGTCAGTAGTCTTAATAAAAATTAGTTTTTAAAGAAAAAAAATTTATGTGCACTTTAAGTTCCTCATATGAGAAAAATCATGAGCTATTTTAGCTTGTGTGTCTAATGTATTCCATGTAATTATGATCTCATAGTGCATTCATTTTCCTGCAAATAACGAAAATTAATCCCTCTTTATGGCAGAGTAGCAGTCTGTTGTATATAAATGCCACATTTTCTTAATCCACACCTTTGTTGATGGGAATATAAGTCACTTGAAATACTTAGTAATTAGGAGTTAAGCTGCTGTAATTGTGAAGATGCATCTATCACCATACTATCATCTTTTAACTCTTTAGGGAAGACTTGTAGAAAGGAAACAGCTGGATCAAATGAAGTTTCTAGTTTTAATTTTTTGAGGAATCTCCCTACTGATTTTGTTGTTACTACTTGACATTCACAGCAGCAAGGTAGAAGTGTTTCTTTTCCCTGCAACCTTGCCAGCATTTGTTATTTGCTTCCTTGATAGCCGTTCTTTCTGGGGTAAGGTGGAATCTCAGTGCTGTTTTAATTTGCATTTCTGTTATGGCCAGAGAAGTTCAATATTTCTCATGTATTTCTTGCTCATTGTCTTCTAAGAAATGTCTTTTCATTTCAGTTGCCCATTGTTTGATTGGGCCTATTATTTGGGAGGACCTAAATTATTTAATTTCTTTATGTGTTCTAAATAGCAGTCCTCTGTCTGAAGCATAGGTTGTTTCTTCACTCTGCTGGTTGTTTACTTTGCTGTGCAGAAGGCTTTTAATTTTTTTTGTACAAGAAACCGAACTTTCAACCTTGGGCTTGCCAGTCAGGCTCTCTGTCTCTGTGCTATATGCCCAGCTAATTAATTTTTTTTTTTAAATCTCCAGCCCCCAAAGCTAATTAATTTTTTAGTGTAATCTTATTTGTTGACTCTTGATGTTAT